CAAACCATTTAGAGCTGTAATTGTTTACAGGAAAGAACACAGCAACGTCAGAGAGTTTCTTTGCCTGCTTGATTGAGAGAATAATTGCTTCCAGCATACAGCTTACTCACTTCATCTCCAGTGCTCTGACTATGCTGTAACTGATCATCTTCTGGAAATGAAACAAAGAGGGCAAAAGGGAGGTAATCCTTTCACGCTTTTATTAGTTTTGGAAGATTTGGCTTAGCAGAGCAGCTTTGATGCTGTCATTAAATTTCCAAGGGCCACAGGTGCCCTGAAATATTTTGGTGATGGAGATAATTGCAAGGCTTGAAGGGAAATTACCTAGTAACAGTGTAAAGAATGTTCAAAGCTGTGACAGAAGATTTATACAGATGATGCATAATGCATGTTTTACAAAGTATGTATAACACATGTGCTTATACACAGCATGCTAAATCTTGATCCAGCTGATTTCTCAGTGCAGAGTCACCTCACTGGGCAAACATCTAATTATTCTAATTCGCTGCCTGCAGCAATAAATTAAAAAAGGTTGAAATGAGATTTGCAATATTCCAATGTTTGTTTGGCCAACGTGTCATCATAAAATAGTGTTGAAAGACAGCTACCATTACTTTTGAAATTAATTCCCTCCAGTAAGACAGCGTGGAGTAAATGAACATCATATAATTTGGCCGTGTAACCACACTGCATGATACCAGTGTCCCACTAATTGAGGTGTAAGTATCTACATTGTAAAAGCGGGTCTAAGTAGCTACGAGTGAAAAGCAGGTAAGGATTCCTCAGGCACAAGGAACAAAACTCAGCAAACTAAAGCTCTGGCTTTAATGAAAGCATCTCATTACCACAATGGAAGCCAGCGTTAATCAAATGGGGACCTGATGCAGTGGAACCCTGCTTGGGGGTGAGGCTCAATGGAAAGCACTGCAGGGGTGGAAAATAAAACTCACACTGTGATTAGCATATCACATATATGCAATCTCTTGTTTTGCTCACTAGCAGACATGCTTATATAATGCAAATGCTGTTGTCTGAATTCTGAGATCTGCAGCTGGCCATTACATTGGTGCCTGTGCACAGATGGGTGTAGATGAGGGAGGAAGCAAACTATTCTGAATTATTGTCAAAACAGGACAAAACATGCCTGTGACTCTACATATTCAGATAGGAGGAAGTGAACTATCCAGGGTTACTGTAATGAGTGTGCTTGGGACTCTACAGACTTGGATGGGAAGGAACTATCCCAGGTTACCATGACAATGAGGTAAGATGTGTTTGGAACACCATATGCTCAGATGAGGGAGATGAACCATCCTGGGTTACTCTTAACAAAGTCTTCACATGCTCTACACCACACTTGGTCCACTTTTTCTCTTCCTTCAGGATTCCATTATAACTGTTCTGAGTGAATGGAGAAGGTTAGCACTGCTCTGGATAGGCAGCACAGCCAGAGACAAAAGCTACCTTCTTAAGCTCCCAACACAGTACGCAAGCTGTAAGGTACAGACAAGTACCCGGATTAGAAACCACAGCAAGGGTATTGCCTTCCTGAAATGCGACACTAAGCTGCTCACAGTGGGTATTACGCTATAATAGCTGTTACTACCTTCATCTGGATGGGTTCTGTGTCTTTACAGGGGCAAGGACACATGTTCACTTCTAACTGGACTAAAACCAAACCATGCAATTGAGTGATTTCTTGACAAAGCTACAGCACAAGGAAGAAAAAATACAGAAAAAGGTAGTAACAGCACTTTTGATTTCATTCAGAGTTTCATCAGTCTAGCCACATTGCTTGTAAGGACTGTCTTTCTAATGGATCCCAGCTTTACAATCAGCAGGAAAAAACTCTTGTAAGCTTACGATACTACAACAAGAAGGTAAATAAATAGTTTTGCCATGTAAGGTCTGGCTTCTGATGTAGTAAGCGCACAGGCAGGCACTGTTTCCTCTCATATATACTTACTTTTTCTGAATATATTTTTAATTTATAAAGTTGAAAGAGGACAACATATCCCACTGTACAAAAAGTAAACAAAATCTCTAAGCTTCATATTTTTGCATAGCCAAAAAACCAAGGGGGAGATACCACCTGAAGTTTCAGTTTTTATTCTGGTATTATTAATATTAGAATAGAAGCACACTGGAAGGAAGTATCACACAAGATAACTCTCTGTGGTTGACACCTGATAGGGCAGTCAGTGGCTTCTGGCTTGACCTTCTGTTAAAACTTTACAGAAGTAGCTTGCTCCAAAAGGACAAAAACATGAGACTCAGCAAGGACAAAGGAATGTTAACTGAATTAAAGCTGAGGAATGGAAACTTCTTAAGTTAATACAACACCTGCTCCTGCAGGTATGACTAAAAAAACTCTGGGCAAAGTTTACTTTCAACAATGCAACAGAACATAGACAGACCATCGTTATAAATAATTTTATTCTCTCCCACACCCCCCAACAAACAATAAATAAGATTTTGGCTTCTCAAAGACTGCCTCGTCATTCAATTCATGACTTCTCACAGACTCAGAACTAAAGAATTGCTGACAGAAGAAATAAAAAGCAGACCTGCTAGGTTAGCCTAGGGATACACTAGGTGTCAGAACACAACCTGGCCTAAGGAGAGAAAAATCATGTAACTGACCCAAGGGGAGGTAGTAGAGGCTGACACTCAAATGGCTCAATTCAGAGCAAGGTGTAAGGGGAACAGTGTATATTGTTCACTTTTGGGAAAACAGGAGGGAGGTAGTCTCTTTGTGTTGACCCGAGATGCACACACTGAGAAAAACGTCATGTTTCTCAGGAAGAAACATAACAGGACATGTAACATTTGGGAAGCAAAAAAACCCCATACACTAACACAAGACTCCTCAGTCCAGTCTTACATGCATTAGTCCAAGTCTTCAAGACTCTACCTCAGAAAGGGCTCAGCAGGCCCTTGTCTTTATTACTGATAATCTCAAAAGTGTGCCAGATTAAGATCTGTCACTGGGAGCTCTCTCATTCTGTATTTTGGACTTTTATTTTTTGTCATCTCCTTTAAAAAAGGACTGATTCCATAGACCTTAGCATTACACGGAAGAGAAACATTTGATACCTACAAGGAAACGAATGAGTGAAAACCATTTATTTTCTTGTATGTGACAAGAAGGCCTGTAATGAGCAACATTTTAGTATTGCCCATTTGCACAACAGCAGTAATCCCCTTCATTAAATAAACATCACACAGCAAGAAAAACCTCATATTTAATCTAATCTTCTCCTTGTTCACCCTTTCCAGCAGACTTTGTGCCTGACACCCCAAGGAACCTGTCAGCGCCTCCTATTTGGGGGAAGAGCTAAATAACCCATGGATCAGAAACTACAGCTGCAGCGAGCGCACATCATCCCAGGGGCATCCATCATCACTGCTAAAGTACAGCCACAGCCTCATTTTACATTAAGCTCCATCCCCAGCTGAGAACCAAGCTGTTGAAAGCCAGACAGCCTCCCAGGAGCAATCAGAACTGAACGTGAGCCCGCAGAGGCACACACGCAGATACTAAAACACAGCATATGATACACAGTTGCGCACACACACGGAGTACACATACGAGTGCGCATCTGTTCCCATACGTATAGCTCCTTCGTGCGGTGCGCCACTTCACGGTCCCGGAATAACCGCGCTGACAAGTTCCGACTCCCGCCGCCCCGCCGGCCGTCCCCCTGCCCGCGGCCGCCCCGCCGCCACCTGCAGCACCACCACCACCGTCAGCGGCGGAGCCCGGCGGGACCTCGGACGGGCCAGCCCCAACCCGCGTTCCTACTACGACCGAGGCGCCTCAGATAGCTACGGCGCGCGGACCCGCCCTCTCAGCGGCGCGGGGCGCGTCGCTTTCCTTTTTGTACATGTAGCACATATATATATATATATATATATATATATGTGTGTGTGTGTGTGTGTTATAAAAATTCCGTCTCGGCCATGATCTGATTTAATTAATTTTTTATTACAATTGATTAATATCGAGAGGCAATAAGCAAGCAGCGCTGGGTGCGCCGGGGAGTCTCCGCTCCACCCAAGATGCACACCGAGAGTTCTGGGGCACAGTGTCTTATACTCCTCGGTCTTGGGTTTCAGCCAATCCTGTCGTCTCCTTCACCCAAATACCGACGTGATTCTTTTTCATTGTTCTCCTCCTGTTGCTGGGATCTTATCTTTGGGTGATGAAACTTCTTAAAAAGTCACTGAATTCCTTGCCAATACATTAACAGGGAATGTCTGTCACAAGCTTAACCACTATCTTAGCCCCCTCAATTCCATTTCTTATATAGTTACATATCGAATACACAAGTTTCACCTCATCCCGTAACAGAATGTATCCCTTGATTACCTAACCCCCTTAAGGTATTCAAGCAGTTAAACAAAACACCCTCTGTAGTTAGCAAAGCATCTGGGACATTCAAGTAGTTAAACAAAGTACCCCTTAAAGTACCAAAGACTTTGATTAGGAAGGATTATTCCTTTGTTCCTTCTTTTCTTTCATCATTGTATTTACAGGAACTCCCATCTTAATCTGATCATTCCTATACATTCTACACATGATTTTCGATTCCTCCCAAAGTGCAATGATGACAAGGACTCCTAAGTTTCTGACACGAATCATTCTTATATACCTCACGTAAGTGTATACATATATACACACATGTATTTACACACTCGTGTAAGCTGTGAGCGCCCCGCGGTAGCCTCCAGGGACATGGCCGTCCCTCCGCCGGCACGGTGAGGCCCGACACACGGTATGCTGACCAGGGGAGCCCCTCAGCGACATACTACGGGCCTCCCGCAGGGCGCGCTCCGGAGCAGCGTCAAGAGCTATAACTGAGGCTCGCCATGCTGATGAACATGGCGCTCCGCAACACTGCAGCCGCAGCCCCGCCCAACGGCACCGGGGGCGGGTGCTCGGCAGTACAATCGGACTGGCGGAAGTGGCGCTTGCCTCATTTCCGGTGAGGTGTGCGAGCGTCAGAGGTGGCATAGGACGGTGAGCGGCGGGGATGGCGGTCTGGCTGCCGCGTTGCCGGGACGGCGGCGCGCCGTCGGAGGAGGACAAGGAGCGGGGGCTGGGTCCCGCGTCCTGCCAGCGCTTGCCGGAAGTGCAGGTACATCCGTGCCCCCCAACCCCTGCTGCCCCGGCACCTCGCGCTGCTTCCCACCCCCGGGGGCGCCGCTCCCCCGCCCCGGCCGGCGCGGAGCAGGTCGGTGCTGCGTGCGCCCCGGCTGCCCCGCGACCGCAGCCCGATTCCGCTGCGCAGAGGGAACCGCGGAGCCCGGTGAGTGTCGGGGTGAGGGTGTGCGGAAGTGCCCGCACCCCCGTGGGGCCATTGCGCTGACCCGGGGCATGCCAGGAGCGGCAGGTGTGCTGAGCTGCGGCGGGGTCCGGCGCAACCCGACCCGCGAGTAACAGTCCCATCTCTGATAAGTGATGTGGAACGAGCTGGGCTGAAGCTCACCCAGCATCCCGGTGTCTGAAAATCAGATCTATGGGCGGTGCGTTTCTCTGTTGGCTAGAGCAAGTTGGCGTTTTATGAACATGCTGTCAGGAATCCTGCGTGTTCTTGCAAGAAGCTCCCATTACGTTAGTTTTCCAAACAGTGACGTTTTCATCTTGTTATTAAGAGTCTTGCAGCTCCCAGACAAAGTTGGCTCAAGAAGTTTGATGTACCTGCATTAAAGTTTCCTTTAAATAAGCTTTCACAACTTGTGTCGTCCTTCATGTCTCCCTGACAGAGGTTATCAGCAACACAGATTTCACAATACAGCACAGGAAGGCTGAGGAACTAATGCATATGGATGTTTTTTCTCCACTCTTGGTGGAAAGGCACAGAATATGCCATGTAAGAGGATAATTTCATAAGTTAGCAAGTGTGAATTCCCTGAACACAGAAAGTAACAGAGGCACTGTTACTTAAGAGGTCACTTCTCCCAGCTATGAGCAGTGACCTCCTGAGCAGATTTGACCAAAAGGAGTATATGATCATGCTGGGCCTCAGCCACTTGATAACTTGAATTCCACTTTTACTGTCAGTTGAAAGCAGGATGTTGGCTACCTGCTGGGTACTAATCCTTATTGGAATACAGGCAGCAGCAATTACTTTAGTGTTGTGATCTGACATCGCAAAACTGATACTTTCTTCTCAGAAGCATGTATTTACAGTATTCTCTCACTTGCAGTATTCTCTAGCATTGCAGCCCAAAGACAGCCAGTGGGGTTTCAGCTGTGTCAAAAGTATTTTTAGTGTGGAGACTATTACTGATAGCAGTACATGATCCATAATTTTGCAAATGCACTAAACAAAGTTAAGACAGCTTGCATTAGAAGCTTTTTTATAAAAATCATCTAGCTGTAAAATACCTTGCTTCATTGCTCCTGTGAATATAATGCTGTATATCTGAAGTGCCTTCCAGGTGCGTTATCTTTGGGATTTAGGCCTGTCTGCTCCTACACCGACTATAAACTGTCAATTTTCCCTCCATAAATAGCATGTCTGATTTTCCTCACAGACATACAACCAAGGGATCGAATTGGCCTGCCAAAAAGAAAAAGAGTTTGTGAAGCACTCTGTAGAATGCACTTGGAACCTAGCAGAAGCCCAGCAAAAACTTGGTAGCTTAGTACTGCATAATTCAGAATCCTGGGATCAGGAGTGTGCTCAAGCAAAGACTGAAGCTGCAGAATTGAGATGGAGAGAGGAAGAGTGGAGAAGAAAAGAAGAAGCACTAAACCAGAGGGAAAACCAGAATCTATGGAACACTGATCCTGTTAGTAAGGAGGTATTTAATAAGGTATGACCCATATCAGCGTGCATGAAAACAAGTGTTACATGTTTTTTTCCTTTCTAGTTATTACTAGTGTTGAATGTCTTCTGTGTCCAGCACAGCACAAAACCACAGTGTGGGCTAAATGGTTTATTTATTACTTTGCCTCATGAAAGGGAGCAAGCTGCAAGCTGCACTCATATTACAAATCCAGAGGCCATTTCTTTACCAAATGCGTAGATCAGAACTTGTGTGGGTCACCTAGGTATTACATATGAGCTGGCAGCGTGCACTCGCATCTCAGAAAAGCCAGCTGTACCCTGGGCTGCGTCAAAAGCAGCATGGCTAGCTGGTTGAGAGAGGTGATTCTCTCCCTCAACTGCTCTTGTCAGACCTCACCTGGAGTACAGCATCCAGCTCTGGTATTCCCAGTAAGAAATATATGGACCTGTTGGAGCAGGTCCAGGGGAGGGCTGTAAAAATGGTCAGAGGGATAGAACATATCTTCTGTGAAGGAAGGCAGAGAGAGTTGGGTTTGTTCAGCCTGGACAAGAGGCTAAAGAAGGCCTTATTTACCATATTGTGGCTTTTCTATACATAAAGGGAGCTTATAAAAAAGATGAGATTTTTTTATGACAGCCTGTAGTGATGGGACAAGGGGCAATGTTTTTAAGATGAGAGGATAGGTTTAGGTTGGATGTAAGGAAGAGTTTTCTTATGAAGATTGTGGTGAGACACTGGAACAGGTTGTTGAGAGAAGTTGTGGATGTTCCATTCCTGGAAGCAATAGACCTGGAAGCAATAGGTTGGATGGGGCTTTGAGTAGCTTGGTCTAGTCAAAGTGCCCCTCCCGATGGCTGGAAGGGATGGAACTGCATGATCATGTCCCTTCCAACCTATACCACTCTATGATTCTGTGTAATGCAAACATTCCTAAATACACTGAATAATTTTTTCTTCACAGTGTGCTTCTCTATTGTGCCAAATGCTTAAAATGAGAAACTGTTTGCCTATAATAATGATTATTGTAATACAGATTATCTAGCACAACCTTTTTTTTTTTTTTTTTTTTTTTTTTTAAAGTAGAATCATGGCTTTGATTTCACAGTTTAATTTGAACAGCTAGTGTATCTCCTAATTTCACTGATACAGCTGCATCCAGGCTGCAATGTACTTGATTCTCATTGTTGACAGATCAAGATGTTCTTGTCTAAGGACAAATGTTTCTGAGAGTTCTCTAGATTATAATAAGACTTTAACACTCTCTTATTAGGTAATGCACTCTTTAAAAGAAAACCTTCTCAAGTACGACATGACTCTAAAACTAGAGCATAGCCCTTTAAATAGTAAGATATTATAATACTTCTATATATCACAAAAAGGTGTGTCTGTAGTTCCTGTGATAGTACAATTTTTCTCTTCCTCAGAGTTTTATTAATCAAAAAAGAAAAACAGAAGATGAAGATGTGTCTGAAACACTTATGCAAAAACATGAACAAAAGATCAGACACTTTGGTAAGTGTGCTTTTTCCAGCAGTTTGCAGTTCAAACTTCTGCATAATTTTGTGTAGGTTTACTACTATTTATTGTAAAAAATGAATGCTAACAAATGAAAGATCTGGCTAACAGTCTGTTTAGATTTATTGTATCAGGACATATAATAATTTCAGAGCAAAATAACGTGTAAACTGTGTTAGAAGCTTGTTACTTCCTGTAACCAGTAAAAACTTAAAAAAGAGTTAATACTCAAATGAACTTCAACGCTGAAAACTAAAGTTTTAGCAACTTTTTCTGCTGTTCAAAGGGAAGAGGCAGGGACATTCATAGAGATATGTCATTTATAACAGTGCATGGGCTAGTTCACATCTGTCTCCTTTTAGTAAGTTTTTTTCCGAAAGCTATGTAGCTACAAAGGTAATGATGGAAAAGGCAAATGTTTGTAAATGTCTACTAAGGGTATGTGTGCATGGAATTGTGCATTTCTTAAAATTATATTTAATTATCCACTAGGTGTCACTTTAGTTCTGTCATAATTGTTCAACTCAGTTAAGCACAAAACTTATCTTAAAAAGTAATCTGAAATTTTCATGGTTCTCTGAAGTGTTTTCCATTCTTAGCCACAGGCTGGTTTCAGAGTGTGGTGTAGTGTAGCCATATTTGGAATTCCAGAACAATCAAGAACAGGACTGTGCTGGAAAAATTCAATTCTTTGTACAAACTCATTTTTACTAAGCTATTTGGCTTCTGAGGACCTTAAACTGTTTCAAAGGAAGGGTTTCTAGTTGTGTTAGCCTTAGCAAGCCTTGCAAGTCAAGGCACAACACTGTGAAGAATATGCAAACAGCAGTGACAGGATCTTGACATGCTTGACAGGTGGGCCAGTGCCAACTTCATGAAGTTCAACAATGCAAAGTGTAAAGTCCTGCACCTGGGTCAGGGCAATCCCAGGCACAGCTACAGGCTGGGTGGAGAGGTGATTCAAAGCAGCCATGCAGAGAAGGATTTGCGGGTGTTTGTTGGTTGATGGGAAGCTCAGCATGACCCAGCAATGTCCACTTGCAGCCCAGAAAGTCAACCGTATCCTTGGCTGCATCAAAAGGAGTGTGACCAGCAGGTTGAAGGAGGTGATCCTGCCCCTGTACTCTGCTCTTGTGGGACCTCACTTGAAGTATTGTGTGCAGTTCTGGTGTCCGCAACATAAAAAAAGGCATGGAGCTGTTGGAACAAGTCCAGAGGAGGGCCACGAGAATGATCAGGGGACTGGAGCACCTCCCATATGAAGACAGGCTGAGAAAGTTGGGGCTGTTCAGCCTGGAGAAGGCTGCGTGGAGACCTCATAGCAGCCTTCCAGTATCTGAAGGGGGCCTACAAGGATGCTGGAAAGGGACTCTTCATTAGTAACTGTAGCGATAGGACAAGGGGTAATGGGTTAAAACTTAAAGAGGGGAGTTTTGGGTTGGATATAAGGAAGAGGCTCTTTGCTGTGTGAGTGGTGAGGCACTGGAATGGGCTGCCCAAAGAAGTTGTGAATGCTCCATCCCTGGCAGTGTTCAAGGCCAGGTTGGACGAGGCTTTGAGTAACATTGTTTAGTGCAAGGTGTCCCTGCCCATGGCAGGGAGATTGGAACTTGATGATGTTAAGGTCCTTTCCAACCCAAACCATTCTGTGATTCTATGGTTGTGTCAAATACCTTAACTGCCAAGTGTAATATAGCAGAAGTAAAAGACTTCTCCCCTGCTGTGTATTTTAGGAGGAAAAAGTGGCTTTATGCAGACTTCCTAGCTAAGGGTTGGGCACAATTACTTTGTTACCTAAATTCAGATTAAATTTTTACATAAGCAAACTTACTACAGGTGGTCTTTTTTTTTTCTTGCCTCCTAAATTCAAAGTAATGTTGTTATTTTAATTCAAAGTATGTAAGTCCATTGTATAAAGAGGCAGTGTATTAATGCTCTTTCAAGCCACTTGTTTTGTGCTATCTGCTGACAAGGGTCAGTGTGGACTTCAGTAGCCATACTACATAGGCCTTGCGTCTGGGTACTGCTCTGGCTTCAAAGTAATAAAGAACTTTAGCAAAATAGTTTTCTTGAAAACAGCCAAAAGAAATATTAGCCATTGCTTTCTCTTTAGGCATTTGTTTGCTAGAATTAAGATTTGCTTAGGTCATTACCAGTGAATTATCTTTAGCCCAGTTATAATTATACACTGATAGACGGGTAAAGCTGTACATCTGGTACCTGTTGCCAGTAATGACTGTCAGTGATTGTCATGAAGGACAATTTTAAGAAGTCATCTGAGTATTGAGTATTGATTTTAAGGTCAGCTATTTAAGTGCTATCACAATTCAGTCTTCTAGTTAACTTGCCAATACTGTTGCGGCTTTGCTTTTTGAGATCAAGCTGGTCCTGTAATGAGATTTTCTAAAACACTAGGAAATAATGTGTTAGAAGCACTTTCATTTTTGATAGATTACACACTTCTGCCTGTGTCTTATTTGCAAGTGTTTAGAGGATTTGTGTTTGCTAGAATTACTGAATGTAAATATTCATAAACTTTTTAAACTATATGACGTAATTAATAGATACTACACCACTTTGTTAGTGGGTATGAGAAATGATTAAAAATAACACTGATAGAGATGCATTAAAATATAGGAAATTGTGATCGTTAAAATCTACTGTTAGTGTTTTTCAAGTCTGATTATACCTTACCTTCTTGTAATGATCTTTAAGTGTTGGTTAGATATATAAATAAACCCACCAAATTTAGCTGCATGGTGTCATTCTGAGGTCAGTAAATTGCAATGGTATTAAAGATACTGGGGTGTCAATGCAAGGAACTTCCTTGATGTACTAAATCAGTAATCCATTTAGAGTATTTTAACAATGTTCCTCTCATTAGGTATGCTGAGCAGATGGGATGATAGTCAAAGATTTTTGTCTGAACACCCGTATCTTGTATGTGAAGAAACATCTAGGTATCTTATCTTGTGGTGTTTTCATCTAGAAGCTGAACAGGTATGAAAAAGATGCTTAAATTGTCTCCCACCCCACATGCATTATAGGAAAACTGACCAACTTGATTAGCTATTTAACTGTTCTTCCCACCCTCTCTTGACTTCAGTGCTTTATCACAATATATTATAAGGCCCCTTGCTTTTGTGAGCATCTGTTTTAGCAACCAAGAAAATTGTGCTGAATTTTAGAAATGTAATCACAGGGAATGCCTTTAAATTGTATTTTTTTTATTTATTTTTTTTTTACTCCCAGAAAAGAGCTCTGATGGAGCAAGTAGCACACCAAGCAGTTGTAATGCAGTTTATTATAGAAATTGCCAGAAGCTGTAATGTGGATCCAAGAGGTTGTTTCCGTCTCTTTTTCCAAAATGCCAAAGTAAGTCAACTTGGGTAAAGATGGAAGAAAATCCTGATGCTGTACAAGGGACCAGTGGTTTAGAGAAGGTTTCTTCCTAACCATAAAAAGCTAAATACTTTATTAACTGACTTAAGTTTATGGGAAAGTGTTTTGTTAGCAATTCTTTCCTAGACAGAATATTTTGGTGCAATTCAAATTCTGACATTGAAAATTTAGTGTATTTTGCATATCGCAGAGGGAAAGCAAGACAGAGCAGGGGGACAAGTAATAGCTAAATAACAAAAGCAAACGCAGACCAGTTTAAGGACTAATTACACCTATGTTTTCACAGCATACCTATATATTGTCAGAATTTCTCATTTATATGCAGTTCACAGTGGGGCCCAAATTATTTTTCCTTTCTCATTACTGAAATAGAGCAATCCAGAGCCATGTGGGAGAAATGCAGTAAGTCAAACTGATTTGCTGTAGGCTGTATTTGGTTATCCAAGACTGATGGGTCTCAGTATTACCTAAAGGAGTTCACCTAAAGTGCAAGTCAACTTACGCTTTACTTTTGACCAGAGTGCTGCAACAAGCACCTGTACTTCTAAAGGGTACTGGTTTCTGAGCTTGAATAAAGGCTAAAATCAGGTTTACTAGAACATGTCCTTTGATAAGTCAGTTATTTTGCTCCTACATATAAATACTACAGATTGTCCTAAAAGGAAATCTACCTGAAATGTAAGTTGACTAAATTGTTCACAGTTGTTATTCCCCAAAGGGTATAACATGCATTACTGCATGTTTTTTTTCAGCACTGTGAATGCTTACAACTCAAAAGTAAATCTGGCTGAAGTGTAAATATTTAATTTTTCTCTTTGCAGACAGGAGGAGGCTATTTTGAGGCTTTTAAAAATGAACTTGAGGCATTCAAGACAAGAGTGAGAATATGGTCACAATCACATGGCTTTCAAACTATGTTGGTACACGATCTCAGTGTCAATCCTGGTCTGGTAGGACAGCTGACATGTTTTCCACAGGTAGGTTTATTATTTCTGGAAATTAATTAAAGTAGGAGTGGGTCCTGCCTTGAGAAGCTGTAATATAAAGATGAAATACAAAGAGGATTATTCTAGAATTGCTAGTGTCTGGTGTTATCAGTATGCAAGGCGTATATGGGCTTTCTTTTTACTTGCTGAATTCAGAAAGCATCAGCATAAGGTCAAAAGAGTGTGTGTTCAGTGCCCTTACATTTTCATGCTTAAAATAAACACTGCATCATAAAACTGATCAGATGCTAGAATTGTATTGACAGTCTTCATCACAAGCAGTGAAATGAGCTTTCAGTGTAAAGTGACGAATCCTGTTCATGAGATCATCTGGGGAAGCCAAGCCTAAGGAAAGTTTTCTGTGTGATGAAAGAAAACTGAGGAAACTTAGGTCTTCTATTACAGTACTGCCATTGACCACATGATGGGAGTCAAGAAGCAACTTACAAGATTGTAAAAAATTAGTTATTAGGAAAGCAGTCACAATCAGCATGCTTATTTGAAATAATTTGATTAGAGTACCTCTCAAGTAAGATGTAACAGCTGTATTTTAAGTAAATATGCAGTCAAGTGCAAGAAATACTGAGACCAAATACAAGCTATGCAAACAAATTTAAGGAATTCTTGACACAGTAAGATAATATTGGTTGATGAATCTCGCAGAGCTTATTTCCTTACTATTGCAAATTTGTCTCATCTTATTGCGGACAACACAAAAAGTCAAACTTCAGCTAAAATTTCCCTCCCTATATACAGTTACAGATAACTAAACTGTCAATTTTCATCTGTTGCAGAACACAAGTGATCTGCAAGGTTCCATAGATACAGATGTCTGCAGTTTAAACTCTGTGATACAAAGAGATGAAGAAGAATCCAAAATGATGGACACAGTATAGTAATCATAAGACTGAGGCCAAGTACTCTTTCCCCCACCCCTTTTTTTCTTACTTTCCCCCCAAAGAAACAAACATGGCTATTTTCTTGACATTTATTTTTCTGGGTACTGCACTTTATTTTTGGTGTCAGATTTTTGTTGTTGTTTAGTTTGGTTTTAGGGGGGATGGAGTTTTGAAGGGTGGGTAATTCAGAAAAACTTGTAATATTGTTTGAAAATGTGCTGCTAGGTTTTTGGTTGTCCTTGAAGAGCATATTGCCGAATGTGAAACCGGATGAATTTTCTGCTACAAACCTTGCCTTTATGAATTTAGAAATTGAAGTAGGAAAAAAAAATCTGCACAAATACGATGTTTACAAGAAGCAATAGATTCTTGGTAGAATCTGCTATTGTCTTACTACAGATGTGGACATGTTTTACTCTATGAATACTGGAGATCAGAAATGTATTCATGCTACCTTGCCGACGTTATAAGCTCTCAAATTTGGTTATTAGTAATAGCAATAAATCAATATCTGGTATCAGTATTTCAGATCTGAATGGATTAGATTAAAACACTGGCTTTCTACCTCCACTAAGGGGATTTAAATGTTACATTGTGCTTTTATTAAATGTAACTGTGTTTTGTCCTAAAATGTTAGCAACGCATGTCTATAAGTGCTAACTTCAGGTTTTTTAAATCAAGTCTCATTATGATGAGAAGTATTTGATGGAGGGGATCGACAAAACTTGAGGTACTAGGATTAGGCTAAGACTTAGTTTATACAAAAAGCTTGGTCACAGTTCATATCGGGTAAGGTGTCATGTGGGGTGTGAAAGATCATTTCATATCCTACTAAGGTGGGTTTCTGACATTGCCAGCTCAAAACTATTAAAGTAGAAAATTATTAAAAAATCTTTAATGATAAAAACACTATTTCTAGACAAGGCCTTCCACAGAACCTCTGCAATCCAAAATTCTACTGTGCTTTTCTAACTTTCTGCAATTACAGCAGTTCCGTCTATAAGAACATACTGCAGTTGAAAGACTTCAGTGGAAGACATCTTGTATCTCAAATAATGGTATCGGCACACACTCTCGGTCCTTTACTGTATTGTTATATGTAAGGTCTGGAAGGTATCTAGATTTCAGTAGTTTGCTGAACACAGTCTACCTGTAGTTGCGAATTCAGGCAAAAGCTGTGCTGAGATCAGTAATTTTCAGCTTTGGCTACAGAAAAGATAAGGAAAAGTCTAAGTCTGCAGTACACACTGGAGTGAGTATTCATACAAAAGCAGCAGCGAAAGTAAGAACTCCGGATCCACTGGCAGAAGTATTTTCTCATGTGCCTTGTGCTCTCTAGCAGCTCTCTTGCAGACAGAGGATAAAGGAGCAGGCAGCAGCTCTGTCCCAAATGCAAATTAGAGATAACCAGCTTCAGTAGTGAATTTTTTGACAGATACTCCAGAGAGAGTAAGCAAACACCACCTCCTCCTTAATAATTAGTTAATTTAAGGGAAACTAATAATAACTTCAGGTTGTTTTTAACTGAATGTCATGTATAAGGGTAGTAAGGGCAGTGTAGCAGTGACCTGCAATTGCTGCCATTAGCAGTAAAACTATACTGATCCAGCAACCTATGATAGACTGGAAGTTATTTTTAAAGTTTCTAAGGGGGTAAAATTGGATGGTCTGGGAATAAGTGTCAAAGCATAAGGAGTTTCCTCTGCTGCTTTCTCCTTCCAGCTAACTGAAACTTATGTAGGCTGGCAAAAAAACAAGCATAGCTGCTTTTTACTTAAATCAAAATGCATAAATAGAGGTAAGCAGTGTATGAGGGTTTCTCCTTGTAATGTGGTAGCTGCTATTTTCCATGACTTTTCTAAGGAAGTGATATCTTAAACTCACTTAAGTCTAAAGCCTTCATGTACACATTCATAAGATGAAAGTACAAGTGGTCGGCCTTTTGGCAAACTTTCTCTAAAATATAGGGAAAACAGCTTGCAGTGATAGCTGCAGCCAGTTTGTGCACTTACAGTAATGAGAAAGCTTTATAAATTCTACAGTGACCACCTTTTTTAGACTCAAATGTGTCTCAATGTTGATAATGCTAAAACTAGATTTGCAAATGTAGTCAGTCTAGGGTATGTCAGCACTACAGCTTTGTAGTTGTCTCCAAACAATCACTCCAAAAGGAGATTGGGACCTGCATGAGTAGTACGCAGCTACTTCAGACATTGCCTAGGCAGAGGTGTTTGTTTCTCAGGTTTTGCTGACTTTTCTTGAAACTCAGTATGGTGAGCATAACAAAAAGGGCTAGGAGAGTTCACTGAAAATAGCAATGTTTGTTACCTGGACTATTAAAAAATGTGGCCTGTGGAGTTTTGTAATTCCAGTTACCTTGTGAACAAATAAAGACAAGAGCTGGTCAAGAGATGTGAATTCTTAACATGAAACCATGAAAACAAGTGCAATTGCTGCAATGAAATTTGCTACAATAATACGATAAAATTAGTCTGACCACTGGAAATTCTGGCACCTGCATGGTTGAGCAGATTTTTTCTGAAGATAGTAGAAAAGACAAATTCACTAGTCAGGATCATGTAGCTCCAGGTTTACCAGATTACACTTAATCTCTTCAGTATTTGCTGTCTTCTTACAAATAATGTCTTGGACAGCTGCACAAAGACAGAGACTTTACCAAATGTGTAGCACATCAGTGGAACTCCACTTTTCATGCACGATAGCTGCACTGGGGGGAGAAATACAGCAATAAGGCCAGTCATCCAGCAAGGAACATATGTGCAAGCAAAGCTGGAAGAAGGTGACTGTCTTCCATGAGAATAATCTTATCTATGTATGCCAGTTCTGGTCTGAAATGGCCTTTTGCAGAATAGTGGTCATGGTTTCTGGCTGGCCCAAACTAATCACACATTCAGAAACGTGCTTTCATGTCCTTACCATTGATTCACCCTACATTTTATGAGTAAATCAATAAATGTGCTTTGTAATTAAGCTGTATTCTGAAATGTGTTTCCTTCACCAGTCAGTATTTGCAAACATGAATATTTTCTGAATAAAAGACAAGAGTAGCTGCTTTTGTTGAAGTCTATATTAAAAGTTGTTGAAGTACTATATTAAAAAATTAGGTACATTTAACATAAAAAAATACAGCATTAAAGTGAGAACCACACACAACGAAGTTCTATCATGATGTAAGTTAAGGACAACATTGGACTTTAATTGCTGATCGGTCTGGTAGGCTACTCTAAGAGAAATCTTTGACTGCTGAATCTCATGAAATCAAGAACTATGACAGATGAGAAGTTAGACCTGTTTTCACCTGGTAGTGGTGGCATCTTTCTGGTTTACATCTGGCAACTTGGTTTGAAGGAAAGCATAGATATGTGGCCAGATCTTATTGGTTTCTGTTCCAGAGAAGGATTTCAGTAACCTTTTTTCCCTAAGGAAGAAAACATTACAGAAATCAAATTGCTTATTTTTTCCAAGACCTCCACCTCATTTTAAAATTGCCCTGGCAGGAGCATGTGAATATGCATGTGATTTAACACCAATAACAGCCATAACATTGGGAATACAGGCATTACTCTGTTCTTCAAACGGTGAGCCATTGGCCACATCAGTTCATGAAACTGACGGCTGTCCACAAAGTACTTCATAACAAGCTATGAAGGGTAAAAATAAAAAGAAGCAATGGAGTCATACAGCACATGCTACACAGCAGTCATTCAAACCACAGTGACTGACCCAAGTATTGTAAAGTTACACCTCAAGGATCAAAGAAGTTGCATCAGAACAAGCAAAAGAACCAGGCACAATCAAATTATGAATTAGTTCTAGAATTTCATCTACAGTTTAATCTGTAAAATATGTTACTGTCAATAATAGCTTAGGCCTATGTCTTACTGTGGTGCTTTGAGCCATTCTGACTTCAGAAAGTTACTAAAGTCAGGAAAATACTTGTCAATCCAGAAAATCTTGTTTAAAACTTAACCACTCCAAAGATGGAGCTTCTATTCTTCTGCCCAACAGTTTTTATAGAGCATAATAAAAAGTGGTGAATATGGAGACAGAGAAGGGACAGTTACTTCAGGATGTCGTCAGAGAGCCCAGTTTATTTGTCTAGGCAAGAAGAGACTGCAGAGCTCTACATGGTAACCTACTATTATCTATATGTTAGCAATGTGGTATTTGCAGCTTTACATTAAGAGAAAATTTATGTATAATTTTGGCTCTTAAAAGACCCAATAATTTGTTCAATGTGCAAATGGCAGTATTCTGAAATAGCTGCTTATTCACAAAGAGTCGTACTAACTCTGCCCATCATGGTCCTGTTCTTTGAGCAGCCACTTTTAAATCCTCATTAACAGTTTTTCTGTTTGTGTAACATTTCTTGACCCCTTGCCCTTGTTTAGGGGGGCTTCTACTTATGAACCCAGAGGAGACAATGCTGTTAAATCTTAAAACAACAACAAAAAAGATTTTTATCTGTTACCTTACTATCCAGAGCTATGTTGCCAGAACAGTACTATAATGTATTGAATAATGCTGTTTGTAAATATGGCTGCTGTGAAAGGCTCTTTTGGTAAGCAGGATCCTGAAAAGGCTTGACGCAACAGCGGAAAACACATTCATTTTACTGGGTTGTTCTCTTACTGAGTTGATGAAAGATACACTGCTACTCATACCATGTTCACTGTTGCATTATCTTTGTAATTGAAGAGATCTGTTCCTCACTATGCTATTATGGAAGAAATTTCTAGAATGGAGGAACAGCTCTTAGTACTTACCGATAATATTCTAGAACAGGTTTTGTTTGTGCATCGTAAGCCTGCAGCCTCTTCATAACCGTCTCTGGATTATCATCATCACGCTGAACAAGTGGCTCTCCAGTAATATCATCAATGCCCTAATTGTGGTTTAATACAAATACTGGTGTGTATTTGTTACTAAGTACGTTTTGTGTAGCTTTCCATTTAAACTGTGATCAGTTTCCAGTTAGTTAAGGTGTAGATTTCTGCTTATAAACAGAAAGACTGCTGCCCATATCTTAACCTGGAATATAAAATGTTGACTTCCTAGTAAAACAGTCTATTAATTAAAAGTATTTTCTCAGTATTAGCAATGAACATCTGGTCATAGTAACTGTCTCTAGAACTTTCACTGAATATGGCAAATATGTAGACAAAACCTTTGTATATGAGGGAAAAAGACGTTGGTAACACAGTCCTGCATAACAGGAAGCAATCAAGAGACCAACTGGACCTTTGTTTGACAATACTGAAATGGGAAATGAGTTAATGGCTCTTCGGTTTTAAGTTCCAAATATAAGAGCGACATCAAGAGTTGTACAACAAATGGCATAAAAGCTAGCTGAAGTTTTTCTAGGATTCAGTAAACAGGTAGGGACCTAGTGACATAAATTATGACAGGTCCTACTTTACTGCACTTTCCATCTCCAATTTACTGAAGTGTTTTAAGTGATTACAGAGCTTTTAAACCTTGAAATCAGCAATGACTGAAGAA